TTTCCTGTTTTTGCTTTTCGCTTTTCCTCTTACTCCTCTTTCTTTTCTTTTTTCTGCAGGTGTTGGCCTTCTTTAAGGGCTTGCTTTCAGTTCAAGAATTCTCGAGAATGTATTACCGAGACGGGAAATTTTTACCACGGAATAGCCGAGTGTAGCTGAGGGAAATTGTCCTATGAGCTTTTCATTCAAATTTTTAAGCATTTTCGTGTAGTATCTCAATGCCAATTCTGGTCAAAGGTGATGACTTCAGAAGTAGAACAAAGACCAATGCTCGTCGCGGCAGTTACAAGCGACACTGGAGCCAGTGAGTTAAGGATCAAATCTGAACAATTTTTAAGAGCTCCGTAGAGTAAAGATTGTCACTCTGTGGGTGTGGCTGAACCTAGTACATTTTCACTACATTGCATTTTCCTCTACGTTGTCTTAAAACTCATTTATTTTACTCCAAGCTAGATGGAATGCTCGTACATTGGTTCAGCTATTCATTTATACACCTGGGTGGAGAGGCACTGTAAGAGTTTGCAGATGCGCTAAGCCACTGACCACGCCGCTAAAGAATGGTCCACATATCGTTTCCTAAACTGGGTTTTGAGGATGGCCACTTAATTTTTGTTATGTTCACAAACGGACTGGTCCCAAATGAGTTAAATCCAAGACCAGAGCATGCGCAACAGGTAGAAACACTTGATTTGCCCATTAAGACTGGTACTGGAGCAGTTCTGTGTGAGCACACACACAACCCTGATCTACTTCAGTTTCAGACTACAACGATTTGGTATGGGTCCAATGTGAACATAGCCTTGTACTCCACATCATGTATTCAACACAAGAACAACTGGTAGAAACTATTGATTTGTTCCTTAGGTAAACCCAATAGTGGACTAATACTGGACCAATTCTGAACACACACACAGCCCTGATCTGGGACAGTTCCCATGTGAACATAGCCTTATACACCTGGGCAGAGAGAGGTGACCTTAACAATTACTTGTTAAAATTGCACTTGGGTCTGTAAATGTTTCTGTGCAGGACATGGATTTTAAAAATTTTCAAATATGGTGTCTCAATGTTTATGAAAAAGTTCTCAATCCATTGTTGTTATTACTGTTTTGATTGGTCAGTTTTCTTCCAAGTGGCCAAGTTTAGGTTCTCACTCTGTAAGTTATTTCAAGATGTCAGTTATTAGCCGCCATGAACTGTAAACTAATTCTGCAGGGATTTTGTTAGATTTCACGGATCATGTGTACTTAAGGCATCTGCAGTCGAGTGTTGATTGATACCCTTAATCAATACCCTTGATTGATACTCGATCAACACTCCATAAACACTTTGGTTGACACTCAATTGACAGTTGGTTGACAGTCAACTAATCTTCGATCAATGCATATGGGTTGGTCAACGTTCGGCCAGCTATCAACCAACTGTTTATCAAGTGTCAATTGAGTGTCAACCAAGTGTCAATTGGGAGGTCGGTCAAGCACCAATCAAGATGTTGATCGAGGGTATTGATTGACACTCGACCATGGTTAGTACACATGATCTGATTTCACAAAACTGCAACAGGATTGTCAAAAGTATCCAGCCGCAGCAAAAATCACCATCTACTTCATGATGTCAGCCAGCTGGGCTCTTTATCTTAATCTTCAGAAAGAGATGGCAAAATCAACCACCTCTGCCAACAATAGAGCCACCTAATTTTGTGACAAATGCTGTTGCAGCTCAAATGATTTTGTGTGAACAAAAACAAAGTAACAAACAAAACAGATTGGTCTTGCAACCAAAGAGAAAGATGCGAAGCTTCATGTTGGTTCGGTGAAAAAGGGATTGCAAGAAGCAATAATATTTATTGTCTTCAAGGTCACTCACTTTTCAGCATTCTGATAGGCTGGTTCACTCAACGAGCTTCTCTTCATTTTGAGATTAAGCAGGAAAAAGCTCAAGACTTCAATATTTCTTAATTCCTTGCAATAACTGGAAACCTCTTAGCTACATCCCTGAGTTTCATGTTCAATGCTTAACTTCTAGCAAAGATCTTGCATTAATTTAAAACAATTGAAATATTTATTATTAAAACAATTCCTATTACTGTATTAGGATGTTTATTGGCCCAATGCTCTACAGCCTGAAATATTTAACAGTCAAGTCCTCTAAACACTAGGAGATTTGCTAAAGGAGGAATCTTTTGTATTGTTAAATATCACGGTGATTTTTATGCAGTGTGGCCTTACTACATTTTTTGGTTTCAGAAATGTTTCCATGACTATTACAAAGGACTGCGACAATTTCAGTGGCGAAGTCTCTAAAACAATCCCCTTTTAGTGTTTCCCAATAACGTTAAAATAAGAACATGTACCAGTTACCTGTTAAACATTTTCTTGAGAATATAGATGATTTCTTATAAAAATAGAATAGTGATGTTGAAATTAAACATAATGTAAAAGTAAACAGGTCACCATATTTGTCATTATGTTTTACAATCTCAGAAAGAAGAAAGTCCCTAGAGCATTTCTTGTGGTAGCATTACTCAATATAAATTTCTGAACATTATAGCAGATTAATCTTCACCATAGATCCTTATACCAAGGAATATTCCAGGCATTCCTACATCACTGTTTTGTCAATCACCTAAACCACTCTTTGTTAGAGTCATCAGACTTTCAGAGCAGCTTTCTTTTGCATTTTAAATGTCTGAAATCACAAATATGAATACAATATGATCTAATTAATACTAAGGTTAACCTCCTCAATCTTGGCCAGCAAAACAGGAGTTAAAATTTTATCAGCCTCCTCAATTCTCCTCTGAAAACGAAGTCTATCTAGGGCATCCACCTCCCATGTTCCTTTACGAGCTTGTCTGTACGCAAAGCTCCAAACAATCATTGGATGAACTACAACAAGCTCATGATCTGGCTTAAAGCATACTCTCTTTTTTCTTTTATCTTTAGAAGCAGTTTTTACAGTTGAGCTTCTGGAAAAGAAGTCCCCAGTCTTTTTTGTCTCCACTTCTTTAGTACATTTCTTGTTTAGGATTAACTCCTCACAACTGTAATGCAAGTTAGGCTGCAACATTTCCTGGACAAACAAATCCAGCTCATCATCAAATGACTCCATTACTGAAACTTTGCAGTACAAATTGGAGGACAAAACAACAGACTTCATAAATGTTTCTTTGCGTGGTCTTGTCTTGCTGCATACAAAATCAAATCTTGCACAACAGTGGTCTTCATCTGTAGGTGAATTTTCAAATACAATAAAATCATCACAATCAGAGTCCCAGTTTTTGCATCCAGAATCACTTGAGGAAACAGCACTTGAGGTATCAGAGTGATCAATATCAAAACAAATAAACATTTGCACAAGTTGACCATCTTGGTTGTACACACAGTCACTTATGGAGATCTTGAGTTCATTTATATCACACTGGGATTCATCAGAAAACTTCACAAGCGATGGCACTTTAGAATCACCCTCTGGCCCAGTATCACAGCTGGTTAAATATCCAGATGTATCCTTTGGTAGATTATGAGAAACATTTGTAAGGTCACACTGAAGGGTCTCTTCTGTAACACCTGAAACACTAGAGGCCATTTTGGAGTGAAGATAAATGTCTTTCAGCTCACTGTATGGTGAAGTACACATGTTCACTGGTTGACTGTTCCTTGCACTTTCCAGTGAGATTTGTGTGGAGTATTCTAGCTTCGCTACACTTAAATAGCTTTGATCACACCACATTTGTTCAGTAATACTGCTAGGGTGGGTTGACAATAAATGACAATACCTCTGAAAATGTATCGCTGACAAAGAGTTTCTTCGTTGTAACTCTAAACAGCTGAATAGGTTAGTTCTGAATTCTCGATCAGTTTTAATCATGCCTGTAGCTGGGTCCTCTTGAGAAAGCTTGGTAACAATGGCAGATCTCCAAAAAGACAAGTCTAACTCTGCAAAATAGAAACCAGAAATATGTTATTTATCAAGCTTTACGTTTCACTGCCAGTCATCACTGACAACCCTTGTTTCTCAATAATGGTTTTCCTAAAGAAACCACCAGTGTAAAAGAAAGCCTGGAAACTACCACTTTGGGTGGACTTCTTGATAATATGTTCTAATATGTTATCCTGAACACCTTGCTTTGTAGAGTACCTGTGTGAAGTCTTTGGTACGTGGATGGTTGAAGACATAAACGGTGGATGATAGATGGTGACTCATTGGCAGTTATCTGAATTCAAGCAGCTTCATAGTCTTTGTTGATTCTTGTTGATTGGGAAACAAAGCTTGGGTTTCTAAAGGTTCAGCATTTTGATATATCTTACTTCACGTCCAAACTTAATATGAGTCACCCATCCTTGGCAACCAAATTTTCAAGTCCGATAAAAAAAATTTAAAAAAAACCAACCCACACTGCTTATGCAAGAAACACCAAGCTTGCACACTCTGAAATTGTTAAGGGGGAGGAGGGGGTATGTTTTGGATACTTTCAATAAATGCTGTACATACTTTACACGCTCCCATGTCAGCTTATACACATTATCTGTTGCTTAAGTGCCCTAAACATTGTGAGCTGATCAAAACCAGTCAAACTGATCAAAAATGGCAAGAAACAATAATATACATGTATTGCAGGAAATATAACAGTTCCTGTCCATAGCTTGGTGGCCATGATCAGGAAACTTTTTACATGGAAACATGATGCAATTTACCCATTATTCAGCAGATTACTTACTTGACGTTATAAACCTTTCAAGGAAAGCAATACACAGCATAAGCTTACCTATAACCCAGGAACTGAACATGTTCGTGCACAAATGAAGAATGTATGGAGCTCCGACGCAGACCGCGCCTTCCATGAACGTCATAAACATTTGTTCCAGCATAGTTCTACAAATGCTTCGTTGAAAGTGTCTCTAATTTCCTCTTGATTTCGTATATCTGTTAAAAAGTCTTTCCAAACTAGAGCAATATCAGTTTTATATAAGGAATAACAAATTGTTTCTTCACTGCTGGTCCAAACTTCAGGACACAAAACTTTGAAGCCGAGGGGCGAAGGTTCACGTACTCTTGTATAAATAAAACAACTCTTCTCGGTACAATTCTGTTGCTCAAAGGCGTCCATGCTTTGTCTCTATGTTCTTCCGTTGTACGTTAACTGAATCTAAACAAGATGAATCATGATCCTGTTTATATATCGAGAGATGACCTGCACTCGTGGGCACTGAGGATGATGCAATCAGCGAATGAGGAACAGCACGACCGTCGGTTGCCTTGGTCATTTCGTGATTATTCACACGGAATTCGTCAGATAAATCAGGGCCATCAACTAAAAGAAAGCTTCTTAAAGTCTTTTCTTAAAGGAAAAAATCAGCATCGTGAAAAGACTACAAGAAGCTTTCTTTCTTGTCGATTCTCGGTGTTTCCACCGGCCCGCCAAAAACAGACAATTCCGGCGATTGCACCTCGACTCTCCCTACCTCTGAAGGATACCATTTTCTTAGCTCTCCCCACTCCCGCTGAATTTATTCAAACTTCCGGTCTCTCCATCCCTCCATCTCTGGGACAGGGGAAGGGAGTAGCTATTACATTCCACTCAAACACGATTTTGTTAAAAAAAAAAGAAAAGAAAAAAAAAACATAGGAATTCTTGTTTTTTCCTCCTAATTTGAACAGTGCAGCAAGCAAATGGAAGTAGTTTTTCATTGTGAAACTCAAAACCCCCAAAAAAGACAAAACTAAAAGCAAAAAAATTAAAATAAAAAATAATATTAAGCTTGATTTGGCTTACCCTAGTTTATTTTTTCTATTCTTATTTTGAAATAAGATTTCCTCGTAGCGTGGTTTATTTTTTCAATCTTTTCCCTCGCGCGCCCTCCACGCGCGCCTTCCGGCTAAAGCAGCAAGTGACAGCGGGAAGTCACATGATCTGTTAGTCCAGGTTGAACCAAGTTGAACCGTAGAAATCCTATTTAGCGTAAAGAGGTAAGTTTTTGTGCAGTTTGAATTACTACATCTTATACGTCAATTGTCTTCGTTTCGGGGACTTGATTGTGAAGTCTACGCCGTTTGTTCTGTCGCATTTTTCTTCTCTGCGTAGTTCAGCTGAAACTGAGAGCTTGAATTATACACACTAAATGCCAGCTATTAACTTCCTAGATTTGTCAAGTGCCCATAAAACTATATCCTTATAGTAGAATTATTCATTCGCCTATAAATCTTTCAAGAGCATTTCTTGTTCTGGGAGAGTTCAGGTAATGTGTTTGTTCATGGAGTCGTTTAGTGTGCTGCAAATCCCGTATACGTGTGCGTTTAGTTCCTTCAAGTTGTCAAATTTCTTGTCGAACTATAATACGTTACGTGCAAATGTGTTTCAGCGGTGCGCAAATTCTACGTAATTGCCATCTTTACAGTCTTCATCCATTTAGTATGCTGAAATAGTTATTAAAAACGAGTAGTTATCGATACGCTCCTCTGTCGTGAGAGGTTTTGTCGCTAAAGCCGCTAAGGCAGGGGAAATTATAAACCATAATAACAATATTTTGATTGAAGAATTTTTCTCCTAATATAAGTGTAAAGAATTTTTTGGCCAGAATTAAATCGGCTTATCGCATTATGCTAGGTCCAACTAACGCTTTAGACTGTGTCATTTCATGACTGTTTCTCTATAAATAGGCTGCAGCAGGTGTCAGTTAGCTCCATCAGTATGGAAATTGGGAAAAGGGTGTTGTTTTGCCATGGGCTGAAAGTCTGGATTTTACGTGGTTGCTGAATTAACAGTAGTAGTGTCTTTGTGATTGCGTTTCCTTTGTGTTTCTTTTATCTCTTGTATGCTTTAAAGTTCTGTAAAAGCTCTGAATTCAAGTCAAATAGCTAGATACTACATACATGTGTGTAAAGATTGATATCAATAATTTATTTGCTACCAACTATTATAATTTGCATCCACTTTTAACTTAATTTTCGTAAAAGTAGTTCATAGATAAAAAAGAAAAACATTTGCCATGTTTCATTGGAGTAAAAGAAACTTAAGTGGAAGTTTGGGAGAATTAGAACAGGCAACGGGAAAATGAGCTGTATGCTGTTGCCTTGTGGCTAGACTGAGGCTAGAGTCGAAGGCTATCTTAAATCTGGGGGTAAGCCTGCAGCAGTCAATATCACTGGATAGTATGCAGCCTCCGTTCTCACATTCAGCTCAGAGAGTGTCTTACTTGTTGGTTAGTTTGTATTTGTGTTATCAGAATTTCCTTCCTCAGGGCACAAGCAGGCATGGCAAGTGCAATCCTAGATGAGGATCAAGTGCTTAATATTTGGTGGACATTGGGAAAAGATAATTATATAAATAGATTGTAGGAGGAACACAGGGAGCACACAATCTTGTTGAATAGGAAGAGAGTAAATAAAAGAATGAAAAGAACGAATAGTTTACCTTTGTCTCCAGTTGTTATTTCTTACGTGGCCTTACAGAGAAAATTGCTGCTTATAAGTCCTGCGTAACACTGTAGCGCTAAACTTGTACTGAGGCCTTTTCTGCAAAAAAATTTTTTTTTGCTTTACATATAACATTGACAAGGGAGGTAACTCTTTGCCCAAGCATTTTGAATGCAATCCAAATATTCGTTCGAATCTCTAAATTTCGTAGCTTTCACAAAACCAAACAAGCACAAAACGAAGTCGAAAGATTTTTCTACAACTTGGCCAAATTTGTTTTTGAATACTTTCACGACAGTTGGAGAATTTTAGCGTCCTTAGCAAAGTTTTTTTTTTCAAATACCTTTTCGCAACATGATCATACCATTGAACTGGTACCAGTGACGTCATACAGCATGCGCTCAAGCTTCCCTTCCTCTCCCACACGCGTTTTTTGACACAACAAATCTTTACAAACCCCTCCCCTGGTTCCCTGTCACATCAGACAGACAGCAAGAGACAGCTGAAGTTTGATGGGGTGGCTGTGGAGGGCCAGGGTGGCAAACTGGAAGGGAGAACACCAAGCTATTGTCCCTATTACATAATACCTAAAAAAAATGATTGGGTCAGTATGCAAAGGTGACCAGTCAGTATACGTAATGGAGAACAAGCCTTTGTCCAGTCAACTCCTCATTCTGATGGGATATTTTCCATTGACCAGCCATTCTTTTATTTATTGAGTTGAAATGACTGAATTTTAGTCATCTCAGGGGCGTGATGTGCATTTTTCTTGGAGTACGCACAGAAGAGAATTCAAAAATTAATGAGCACCAAAGGCATGTGCATATATGTGAATATGTTAGTGCTATGTAAATAAATCGTATATCTTTCAGAGAACGAAGGACCTTCATCCTACATAATGAAAACTCACCTAAAGTACTTGGAAATTTATGGTGACTTACATTTTTATTCTTTCAGAAACTGTCTTTTAAAGAAACAGAGTGATGGCTGTGGAGGGATGTGCAAAAATCATCAAAATCCTGCTGTTTGGGTTCAACTTTATATTCTTTGTAAGTTATACATGTGTGTGTTGGAACAGACTGTGATACACTTTATCATTAAGTAGGAACATTGGGATTATTATTAATATTTTTCCTCTCAATTTACAAAATACTGTATGAATGCAATTCCATCTTTTTTTATGTCCCTTTCCCGCTCATTTAAGGTTACTTCCCACCTTCAGGGGCACAAAAAAATCGTTCTGTCTTTTATTTGACAAAATTTAAGTCGGTCATTTTATCTTAAGTTTACAAAAGAAAAGTATCAAAAATCTCAAAAAGCGGCCTAGTTATTTAGAAAAAACATATTTTCAAATAAAGTTAATAAACCAGGAAGGTGTCATAATCGCTTAAATGGATGAAACTGTGAGGGGAAATTTCCACGGCATGTTATTTGGTATTGTTTATATCACGCATTTGTTCTTAAATGCCTTTGGCTACTTTGCCCATTTTAGTGTCTTTCTCTTCAATGTGACAGCGAGGTAGAAAATGTGTTGCAATGCAGTGCCAGATCAATTGTCATTGACACCAGGAGGTCCTGTTGTTCCATTGGTTTGCGGTTTCATAAGGCGAGATAATCTCCTGGCATGGCACAAGTTGTTTACCAACCTTTACAAGCTAAAATCTTGCATTTGATTTTGGGAGGAATACATCCACTTTGAGCAAATTTATAGGGTATGCAGATTTGTTGGATTTTCGTGAAATTTCACCAGAACATTCCAGGGATAATGACAAATGAAATTGTGTCGAGAAATTTGGATATTTAACATATTTTTCCCGTGGCGCCCATTTGCACGACACATCTTGCATATTTTTAGCTACTCCAACTTTAGATACGGATATCTAGAGAACCAATCAGAATATCGAAAAAGCACATCACCTTCTTGTTGATTGATGCCTTGTGAATAAGACTGTGCTGCCATTTTGCTTGTGTGGCAGCATCTGATAGCTGATAAATTCAATAGAAGAACCCTCGGTCATTTCACATCTTTGCGACTCCTGACCCTTTCTAAAAGAAAAGCTCGCTTAAATTGTTATCGTAAACTACAATATTATTATTAAGCTTTCTTCTGTTTCTTGGGGTTTCATTAAAACTGGCACGCGTACGAATTTGCAGTTGTCAATTTGACTTACCAGAGGTCAATTTATGGTAACCTTAGGTTACTCCAAACCTTTGAGAGGCTTCTTTAGCTGAATTTATTTATTTTCAACCAAATTAAAGTTATTTAGGTAACATTTTCCCAAAAATGAAAATAAAATATTAATACACATGTGAGTTATTGAGAAAAAGAGATTTTTTAATAAAAGTTTATAAATTGCTAGATTGTCATAATCCCCTAAAGGTATGGACTCCTTTTCACTGCAAAAGGCTTCATCTGGAGATCCTATTTCAACTCATTAGCAGTTGTTTACACTCAAGTGTTGGTAGGCATTCCAACCTTATATACATGTGAGAAATTGCCACTAGGAATGCTTCTGCTTTTTTAACAAAAAAAGCTACTGTATAGTTTCAAATTTACTGGACACAAAACTTACTCCAGAGATTTTGTGATTGTCACAATCACACTTCGGCACTTGCTCCTCAGCTTCTCTTTGTTTTGTTACACCCCACTTTCCTTTCGTTTTGCCTATTGTTGACTACCAGGAAATCAAATATCAAATGTGTTTGCCTAAAACATGACTGTAACACTATTACTTTCCCGTAAAGTTCCACTTTGCATACTGTGAACGCTAGGGGTTTTGTTATTTCATTGGCTGGCGGCTTTTCGAGTTGACATATCCCTCTGCGAAAGGGTGACATGTTTATAAATCTTTAGAAGGCAAAAACTCACGCTCATTTTTTGAGAGAATCCGTTCTCGTCAAATGAATTAATAGGGTATGACAGGTAGAATTGATAGTTTTCTGTGAAATTTGGCCAGAACATTCACTGATGAATAAGGAACAAAATTGTGTCCGCAAATTCTTCTATTTAAAATACTTTTCTTGTGGTGTCCTCTAACGGAACACATTTTGCAAATTGTTGGATAGTGAAACTTGACAGATCTATAAAAAGATAACTAACAGAAATACAGGAAAATGCTGACACCTTTTGAGAGATTGATGCTGTGTGATTAACACTGCACAGTTACTTTGCAACAACAATCACATTTGACACCTGATGTCAGGCTGTCATTTTGGCATTAACAACTACTTCTGTCTTAGGAAATCAATAGCCAAAACAAAAACATAATTTTATTGAATTCTACATTTCATAACCTTTCTATTCCGTGAATAGAAAGGTTATGAAATGTAGAATTCAACAAAACCCTTCATAACCTTTCTTTTGATATGTAGTTTGTGGGGGTTTCCTTGAAATTAGCGTGCATACCAATTTCTTTCTGGAGGCACCTGCAAATGTTTGGAGTAACCTTAAATGATCTTTCTCTGTTGAAATTGACCTGTTGAAATGTATCTGAAAGGTAAGCATTTACTTACGTTTCTCACATCGCTTAATTTGTGAACATTTAACTGAAATTGTCCAGCTTCGAACATAAAGGTAAAAAGATTTCTATTTATAATAATAAGAACAAACTGTTTATTTTGTGTGATTAATTGAAAAAACAATTTGCTGAAATCAATTAGTGAGCAGTCTATCTTAGCAGTCTGAAGGGAAGGGAAGGGAAGCAATCAGGATTCTCCTTGTCATTGTGCACTGGTTCTGCCATATAAATAAACAATAGCCTCCATTTGGCACGAAAATATGCATGGATATTTGGCTGCAGACATTATCTGTTCCGAGAAGTAAACAGTTTTCCAAGAGTGTAGCTCGAGGAAAACTGTGAGCTTCAAGGAACAGATAATGTCCAAGGACAAATATCCGAACATATTTTGTGCCATATGGAGGCTATCATGTTTATTATCCTTCAAATCTTTTTCGCAACACACATAGTTTTGAAAATTGGGGAATATTCTCGGATATTCTCCAGTTTCAGCTGGGGAATATTCGGTCATGTGACGTGTTTAGACTAATCACTTGCGAGTGAAAATATTTGATGGATTATAATAAGTATTATTATATTATAATGGGTACAGTACATCCCAAATGAACACGGCAATATTTTTGTTAATGCATTGGCTCAAATGGGTATCAAATGGTCCCATTCAATTTAAAAAGTGCTTGCAAAATTTGGCCTTTGATTGAATTGCTTGCAAAAACTAGCTGAGTGCTTGCTTGCTCATGCTCACAAAATTTTTGTTACTACTCGCATGCTTGGATTCTCGTTAATGGCAAAATTGGGAAACATTGGGGAAACATGCACGCACTATGAATGTTTCTGGAAACTTGGTTCTTCATTTTGCTAACGTGCGTAAGAATTCTTCGTGAAAGGTCAAGGAACCCGCAAAGGTAGAAAATAATCTAGATACATGAAGGCATGAGGAACATTACAGTAATTACTATTTGATCTTCAGAGCTTGTCAGAACTGCAATTGGCTGCAATTGGTTAGATCCTAGAAGCCTCCAAAAGAAGCTTCATTGCATTGGATCTTTTTTAATCAATCACAACGGTGGGAAATCAGTTGGCAAAGCATCGAAACCGAACCTGCAAATGCTTAATAGACTAAATGCCATGTTGTCTACATTTCCTAAAAAAATATATAACCAAAAAATCTTTCATGTCACAACACTTCAAAGTCTGGAAGCTTTTAGCTTCTTCTCATGGTGTGTTCACCACATTGGGTTAGAAAGCTTTAGATCTCCTTCAGCTTCCACAACTGAAGGACCTGAAGCTCATTGACTCACGTGAAGCTTTGTGATGTAACTTGACATCAAAAAAGGCACAATTGGCTGCATACTGCTGGGATTGGTTGAACCGAGATTGTGCCTATTGTCCTGTTTTGAAAGTGTCAGCCAGATTACTCGGCAGAGATCCCGGCTAGCGAAAAAATTTATAAACTGCTTGCTGCTTGCCATCTGTGTTTCCTAAAGTGCTCGCTGCTTGCAAGACAAATTTGATCACTACTCGTGCTCATGAAAATAAATGCACTGCTTGCATGCTCACAAATGCGCGCAAAGACCATTCAATACCCTTTAGAACAAGTCAATATTATGAATCTAGTGACTACCATTTAGTTACTTATTGATTAAGTTTTATTCTTTCTCTCAGCTTGGTGGTGTTGGATTGCTTGGAGTAGGGGTATATGTTCAGCTTAAGATTGGTGATTATGTGGAACTCTCATCTGTAAAATATGTGACAGGACCAATCATTATTATTGCTGTTGGTGCTGTTATTGCTGTAATTGCATTCTTTGGTTGTTGTGGTGCTATAAAGGAAAGCAGATGCCTCCTTGGAACGGTAGGTTGAACCTCAATTTACTTGACACATGCATGATGTATGCAGTGCTTTTAGTAAGACCCGGCTCCTGCAGGAGGCCCAGCGGGTACTCTCTTGCAAATCGCTAGCTGTATTCCTGCATTAATGTTCTTATGGAGTCAAATAAAAAGGAATTAGCAATTCACCCTTTTTATATGGGTAGTTATTATTGGAAAGCTAATAAAAACGTTAAAAAAAACCAACCAAATAGTTAATTTATACACTACCCTGTGATTTTACCGCTTTAAAAGCCACAAGTAGTCGTTTTTCATTTGCGTATTAAACGCAACATTTTTGTAAACACCATCATTACTAAAGGTCACACTCCAGCGCACATTACATGATGTACCTTGAGTTTTAAGGAGCCTCGTTTTCATGCATCATCAGTTCCACAATGAGGCGGCAGCAGTCCATGCTGTCATTTCTGTCTGCTCCTACACCTGTAGTTCAACTTCAAAAAGCTCACAGACGCAATCTGGTAAGTCTTTAATAAGGTGTAAGAAGTTAACATCAAGCCAAGTCTTATATATCACAAATGACTTTGGTTCTTAAAAGGTCTTGACTTCAGTCTGTAACTTAATTTTCTGAACAGTTCATTTTTGTTCGTTCGTTTTCGTTCGTCTTAGTTCGTTTTCGTTTTGCGACCACATAAGGTTTTAATGTAGTATTTCTTGAGTCTTCTAACAAACACACAGTGTGACAGTTGTATATACACAACTGAAAATAGAGGACAATACACATGAGACTGCCTAGAACTATGCAATAAAATACTTTTTTCTGATAAAAATAATGAATGCTTGGGTGTTCATATTTTGCCTCAAATCACTAGAAATTGTGTTTCCAAGTCTCCCGATTTCACAAAATTTTCTGGGGGGCATGCCCATATACCCCCCCCCCCTCTCCTCAGAGGACAAGGGGCCTTCGCCCCCTTTTATCAGCTCCGGCGGGTGCTAACAGAAGGGAGACACCTCTTCAAATCTTACTGAAAGCACTGTGTATGATCCTGCCAATGCCAAAGAAACTGTTAAGAGTAGAGGCATACATTTTGTGGTTGTACATGTATATGTTCAAGCAGCTTGCCTTGTAGTGCTGCAGCACAACTGTGAGACATTTGCCTACTAAGTGGAAGACTGCCTTGGAGCTACATGTATGTCATGGAATTGGCATATCCTAAAGATTTAACCAAGATTCAATACTAATGTGGTAGAATGGCCAATTCCCTCTATGAGAGGTGCCTGCAGGGAATCATGGTAGCTGTATTCATCAAAGTAAACATCCAGTCCAAGATGATGAATACAACTACCATGATTCTTTGAAGGTGCATCTCATAGGGGGAATATACCATTGTCACAACCACTTTCATGTTTTCCTAGGTTAGCTCATAAATTTGTAAATTGTTCCTTTAATTAAATGATTGAGAGTAAAAAATGACAGAAAATAGTAAAGCTTGTACCAGTAATATACGTAAGGAAAAATATTAATATTATAAAAATTGAAACCCCGATAGTTGAAATCTGAGTCTGAGATCACCCCACAGTATGAGAAGAAAATGAAAGTTTCATTTATTTGTTAAATGTGCAGTACCAGAAAATATCCATGCCCACCCTAACCTTGAAATATTAATATTGGAAATAATCTGAAAGGAGAGGGAGTATCAAATGCCAAAAAAACTGAAGCTAAACTGGATTTTTGAGAAGTATATGGCAGGGAAGGGGTGGGGGATCAAATCAAAGAATCTTATACACTTTATGTGAAGAGCATGGATATGATTTGGAATCACACAACCCGAAAATCACAGAAGTCTAGAATTTGTGCAGAACGCTTGTAGGTGTTTACTCTATTATTCAGTTGTAACACTCTATGTGTTGATTTACATGTAGTAAGAATGGTCTTTTTCTCCTTTTGTGTAGTTTTTTGCCTTGATGTTGCTGATCTTTGGCTTGGAAGTTGCAGGGACAGCCTTGGGTTTTGTTTACAGGTCTCAGGTGTGTGTGTGGAATCTTGAAAATAAGCAATCATTTGTTTTGTGACCATTATATTTTGAATTACTCACAATTAGGTGCAGAATTTGATATTTCAGCCATCATTTTATGTATTTAATCATGAAAAACTAGTTTTTAAAAATGTTGAGTGAAAATGTTTTTCAATCACGTATACAATCCTCAGTTTAAATCAAGTCTGGAGTAGAGAGTCTTTACTTTTACTCTGATCCAGTTAACTTTCAATATAACTGTCTCAATAGAATTGCTATGGTTAGTTTGGTTATGGTTGAAAGGTTGTCAACTGAAAATGGTAGATGGTTAAAGGGCTTCCAGACCATAAGTTTATGTGAAAAAGTGTCAAAGTGATATTACAGTAATAATTCAGAATATCATTATCATGACAACAGGTCAAAGATGAACTGATGAAGGATCTGAATGAGACGCTGAGTCAGTATGGCGAATCAGACAAGAAAGGAGTAACCCAAGCTTTTGACTTACTGCAGGAAAAAGTACATCATAAGCATTATTGTACATATTGAAAGACCCAGTTTTGGCCAGGATGCATTGTGCTCTGAGTCGAAACGTCTTTGAAGTTTTATTAACGCTGTTTCTAACGTTAACAAGAGTCAGTGTCAAGCACAAATTTTAATTCTAATAACAGATGTGCAAAAAGCATAATGGTCAATACTGGGTCTTTAAAGAATCATTCTCTATTCTTGAAACTGTAGATATTATTCCAGACGTTTTACCAAGTTGGTGCACAGTCTCATTCATGACTATTCATTAACCTTAGGGTAATTTGACATATGTGGAGCTCAGTATGTTCATACAGGCAGCTGATGGCAATGCTTTAGTCCGTGTCAATTGCATTTCCAACCCTGGAAGATTAATACAGAGAATAGTGAATGTTGTGCAATAAAGATTTGGAAAAATAGTTGACAAAAAGAAGTCCACGGAAGTAGCTAATGTGGTAAAACCGAGGGAAAGACAAACGATTTAGCAACAACTGTTGTGTCCGATACTCCATTCAGTGTTTAGGCTATGTAAGTTAATGTAAGAACTTTATGTTCAAACGTTTCTGGCAGCAATGTATATTGTACTGTAGCAATAATAATTTATTGGGTGAGTGGTTAATGGAAAAACCGTTTAAGATGCATGACACTTGCAGTTAAGTAGCTTATAGGTTGATATTATAACAAAGTATCAAAAAGTGTCATAAAAGTCTTTGAAGAAACAGATGTTTCGGGTTTATAACCCTTCTTCAGTGTTCCGAAAACGGTTTTCTGATACTTTCTTATAATGTCAACCCAGCTGTAAGCTATACAATTTATTGGATTTGGTTTTTGTGATACCTCAAATAAAAAACGTCTCACTGAGTGTTATCAACCTGAACCTTACGTTTCGGTGACATTGTCCCAGATTATTCAAGATATCATAAAGAGCCTCAAAGCATGGTTTGTGACTCTGGGAAAGTTATACTGTTGTGTTATCACTACAGGAAAAATGCTGTGGAGTGAATGGTTATACAGACTGGCGGAGGTCATCTTTCACTGGGGGAAACCACACGTTTGTTCCTGATAGTTGCTGCAAAGAAGTGAAAACAGGTTGTGGAGTGATACCAGGTGGCACAGATACCAGTAAAATCAACACTGGGGTAACTATATACCTTGGCTAGTACCTAGAAGTTTTTCTTGCTTTGTTGAACACATCAAATCCCGAAAGTAGGGTCTTATTTAGACCCAATTTCTATAAAAATGCGAAAATCAAAATGTAACATTAGAGGCTAAAAAACTTCAAATGTAGCAAAATGGTTATTAACGTACTTTTTTATTAGAGAATTGATACACATGCTATTACTAGGGTATGAAAACTGACTATCTGGCAATTGTCGATGAGTTGTGTGAAAACTGGAGTAGAATGGGCATCAAATACCACAAGTGTCAGAATGGGTTGACACAAAGTTGTGAAGCGATGGCTTTGTTGTTGGAGCAGGTAGCTGAGTTTTCCATCTTTTCCACAAAGCCTAACCCAATAACCCAACAGAATAGTCGACTGAGATGGTGAAGGAACTGGTGCTTTTTACTAACATTTGGCTACTTTTGACAACCCACTACTTTTGACAGAGCGTTTTCCTCCCACCAGTGTGGCCTGGGTTGAGTTTGTAGTTGGTTCTCGTCTTGCCCCAAGAGTTTTTCTCCGGGTTCTCTGATTTTCCTCCCTCCACAATAACCAACACTCCAAATTCCAGTTCGTTCAGGAGAGAGGACCTGCATGAAAACCAGCTAAGGCTGATGTCGCTTCCTCTCTAAACATTGTAATTTATTTTATTGAAATGAATGCGCGCGCTCTGATTGGTCGATCAGCTATTGTTTATTGTGCCAGTAAACTCATGGAAATTTCGCGTGTCTTCTGAATTATTATTTAAAAGCAATAGACCACAAGTTTCTATGGTTTAGAGGCAGATAAACCACTTGGGATGTTGGAAGAACACTCGAAGAATTCGTAAATCTTTCGCCTGCGGCTCGTGATTTACGAATTCTTCTCGTGTTCTTTCAACATCTGGCGTGGTTTATCAGCCTATAAACCATAAAAACTCGGCTTGTATTCTATCGCTTAAATAACCCTGAAGTGTGTGGTTCTAGGTGTTAGTGGTCTTTTACTAATGTGCAACCAATGAAAATTGACATCAAGTGCATATTCATTTCAGGGATGTTACCAAAAGACACTTGATTTACTCAGAGACAACTTGATTATTATTTGTGGAATAGGAGTTGCAGTGGCCGTCATTCAGGTCAGTATGTATATATTTTAACCACCACGTTAGGTGATAAGTAAGTAGACATTCAGCATGGTTTGTTAGAAATCTGCTAAGTGGTTCTCTTATCATCCATTTGCTGATAGAACACAGAAAATAATGTACAAATGCTTCCCTTGATAGGATCATATTCTTGATTTTCGACTAACACTTTCACAGTGCGACTACTCGGAACCCGGCCACTTGGAACAAAGTTAACCAATCAGAAAGTTACTTGAGAATTCACAGAGACAGCGATCCTTTTCTCAAATAAACTAATAACATTGAAGAATGCGAACAATAGCTCTTAACAAAATTGAAAACCCAGCATTGAACAAAGTGTGAAGTGTTACGAACCTCTCAGGAAACTTTGCCACTTGCTGATTGGTTAGTTTCGACTCTAAATTTTGTAGACCTTTCGCGTTTAGTTGTCACAAGATGAGTTTTCAAGCTAATTTTTTTCAGAGAGATTTACAATTATGATAATTCGCCGTCAAGGATTGAGTTTCTACTAATGTATATGACGCAGAGGAGTCGATAGTACTGATGTCTTCATGTCAAATAGACCCTTATTACTTGTTATCATAAGAAAGCTACCAGTACATTGTTTCTCATTTTACATTTTGATTGGTTAACTTTCTTCTAGGTGGCCCAGTTCGAGTACTCGCGCTGAAATGGGGTAACAGTCTCTTAGAAGGCAAATGCTAAATTGTTATACAGTGAAAGCTCTTTTTAACAGACACTCTCGTAAACGGACAGCTGTACTTACGATCGCCCTCCCAAAACACCGTTTGAACTCCCATACAAACTCTGTATTTACTCATTCCCTTAAGCGGACGTTCCCGTAAGCGGCCACGGACACTTTGAGGGCACACAATTTAAATTTTTCCTTTGTTTTTAAGCTCTCGTGAGCGGACACCCGAAAGGAATTGGTCTGACTATGAAAGATATCCATAGACTTTTGTGAACTGTATTATAAATGCCCAAAGAAATGCGTTTTTTACCCTTTTACGGTTTTGTTTGTGATTTTCTTAATCTTCCAAAATTTTCACAATACATCGAATCGGACGGGATATGAATCTTAAACCCGAGAAAAGTAGGTGTGTGAAGGCAGTTTTTTTAGACTTTTGCAAATGCATGTCTTTCACCGCTGCGGAAAAACTGGTCAGATAGATTTCCCTGAAAGACGAGCTCCAGTTAAAGTAAAGTAGTTATTACCAGTCTGCCGAATTTTACGGAATGTTACCGAAGGAAACGCGAAAACATTTACTTTCAGTTTTGCTTTTTGTGCTTATGTTGACGTCATAAAATATCGAGAAACACTGACGTTTTCCTTTGAGTGCGCGCAGATTACTTGAGCTTTCGTCCTCAGCTGGCGTGCAATCTAAAAAACTATAGGGAGCCACCTTAAACAGTTATACAAAGAGTGAAATGTAAGATAGCCATTTTTGAGGCCCATTGGGGTACTCTCTATGATAATATAGAGAGTTTAAGCATGACGTTCACGGCAAACGGCAAAGGGTAAAGATTACCTCTTAATTTGTGTTCTTTTCTTCTAATCCGTAACTAAATCACACAAAAATAGCAAAATGTTTCCTGCTATTCACCGCAAATACAAATATGTTGACTGTACTACAGACAGCTGAAGACAGACGATAAAAGTTTCATTTTTGCCGTTTGCCGTTTGACGTAACGTCATGCTTGAACTCTCTAATAATATCCATGGAAGTTACACGAAAGCGGTTATTTCTCCCGTCCAAAATGGTTCAAAATAAAAAAAAAAAACAAGAACAAAAACAAAAACAAAAAATAAGTAAATAAAAAGGTAAGGCGGGTAAAGACCTCGAGCTGGCGGCTGAGCCTTCCCGTATGAAACTTTGTTGATTACCCTTTCCTTGGAGGAAGTCTACCAGGCAGCTCTTTGGCTGTTTGTTGCTAATCTGATTGTTCGTTTTATTTTTCCCCTGACAGCTTCTGAGCATGATATTTGCCCTGGTCATGATATGCAAGATTAAAGACCAAAGCACGTATGCTTAGCAAGGGAAGTTTACCAGAGAGCATTGCCGTTATGCCGCACTTCTTCAATTACGTTTGAGAACGGTGTTCCTTAAACAAAACAAGTAAATACATAAATAAACACAAGAATTTTTTTTATATAGGAGATGAAACGAAAAATGTCGGAAAATTGATCTTTTCACTAATGGCTTTTTTATTTATACTTTTGAATTCAGCTTTTTATTAAATCATGGATTCTTTTTTTGCGTAAAATATAGTTAACAGAACTGTGTATGTGTAAACTATCACTATTTATTACTATTTAAACAGTTTTTTTCAGCAATAAGAGTTGAATTTGGAGTGTTACTAAGACACTCAAGTTTTGCATGGTCATCAGAGGCAGGCAGACTTGTTGATGTGACATGCTGGGCTGCGTATACAACTTAGAATGACTGGAAACTGTAAAAGATCGGAAGAAAGTTTGTCATAACCAGTTTGAGTATTTATAAGCGGATTATCTGATGGACACTTGTTATTTAAAGTTCGTGTGCCTTTTTTCCTCGACTAATTTATAATATTTATACCGCATTTACTTACAGCTTAGAGAAATCCCCCGCTAGGCAGGCCAAAATCCGCGGTTTATAATTTTATAGAAATAGAAACTTTCGTAGAAGTAATCGTGTCAAAGGATCTCATCTCTTTAGAATTACTGACACAGTTTGGGAGAACGCGAAAAAGCTCTGGACAAGGATCCTGCTACTACAACATTTCTCGTTCTCCGAAACGTTTACCCTTTTATAGCTATAATGAACTGTTTAACGCTATAACCAATTTTTTCTGTTCTGTTTTTGTATTCTTTTTGATATTTGCTCGTACAGGTTAATCACTATAAGAGCGAGGGATTTTTAGAGGGCTTACGGCTGAAACGACCGTCTTTTTCCTCGGTGGTTAATTTCTTTTAACAGCATCGTGTTGATAAGTATTGTCCGCCGCGGCAGCACAATATGGTAGTTTCTTGAGGAGATGATCTTTCACTTAAGCATTAAGGTTCTCACGTTCCCAAGAGATTCGATTTATTTGACAAATAAAGAAGTCTAAGCCGTGTATTACACTATGATAAAACACGACGGGCATTTGAGGTCACGAGGTTAATGTAGAAAACAAGAGCCGCAAGCGAGCGTTTTCTACATTCCTCGAGTGTTTTCAAATGTCCGGAGTGTTTTATCACAGTGTAATACACGGCGTAGACTTCTTCATTTGTTTATGATATAGAGGTAATGTGGCCAAAAACAATAAAACACGCTTTTTCCATGTTTTATACTCTAATAAAACATGGGCTTTTGACCAATCAGAGCGCGCGCAGGGTCATATCTATAACTGTCGTTTAAAGCTCTTAAATAGTGCTATGCATTGTACAGACATCTTTTATATTTAGATCATGTCGCTGTTAAAAATTTCCAGACCTTTCAGTGGAATCCAGATTTCTCAAACCTCCAAGAAAAACGAGAATTGTCAAAGCTAATCAAGAGATGATCATGCTGTCTTGAACAGATCCAAAGGAAACCACTATTGGTTCAAGCTATCGGCAAGTAGAGAAATCGAGGGCTCGAGCTGAATTGGGACTCAACTGTAGTTTAGAACTGCGCCCTTTTTGTACAAGCACTTTCCAGTTTGTGTGTAATGTGTTCGTATTACAGTACTTAGCTTTGAACTGAAGTTGTAATCTGAGAGTCTGTAAATCTTGTGAAATGTTCTTTTATTAAATTAAATTGGAGAACTGAACTTGTTGTGGTCCGCAGTTTTGTGTTTTAAGGCGGTGTTCCCTATTGACCTTACAACTTTTCTTGTAGTGCAAGTGCAACTTATTTGGGACCATTTAGCGTTAGGACGTTGATTGCTATTCGCTTTAGAAATGGAGAAACTTGAACATCTTGGAACATAAGTTAGAAGTTGTTCTTTTATAATCCATCAATACTGTAGTAAAGCACCAAAAATAAGCACGATACCAGGAAAAGCTTGCCCCTTGGGTCGGCAGACAACTTGAGAAATGAATTTGGCCATTTGACTAGATGGCCGCTTGGATGTTTCACAACCGAAATGATTTAGTCTTATTCACGGGAGACCAAGGGGCAATTAGTGTCTTGTTCTTGAATACAGTCGAACCTCCCGTAAGCGCTTTAGATTGTTCCAAACCACGTGTAGTTCATGTGTTATGTTTGTTGCCGCTGTCTGCATTTCATTTCTTGTTAAATTGAAATGGCCAAAGAACAAGAGTGTTTATGAATCTCTAATGTTGTCTAAACGTTAGGAGAACTGAACATCAACTGTACTCAACTTATAAGGATTGAATGGCTAGCTTTACGTTTGACAGCCCTATTATATTGATGGTCATTTACACGTTAACTGTTAACTGTTCTTGAGTGAACAGTAAATCAGTTCTAATTTTCTGTAATTATAGACTGATAGAGTACAGTGTACGTGCATTTTTCTTTAAATTTTTAAATGTTTTACTGATTCATGTAAAAAATCAATTTCGAAAAAAAAAATCCGGTACATCCCAATGAGAAATTTCCGTCTTTTGTACTACCAAGGAATGCGATAATATTACACACCTTGTTATCCAATCCTCCGTAGGAAAAAAGATGGCGACCGGTACATTTACCCATAGTTCTTAGCGCACGAAAACCTTAACAACGTTCATAAAAACGTACAGAAACGTTATAAAATCTTCAAACCTAGGCTACTTAATGTCCTTGGAACAGGGACGAATACTGTAAAAGAAACTGGCTTTCTTTGTGCCTTATAGGCTGTGGTAGGCTCGCAGGGCGTTGTGGTAAAATGTACAGCTGCCATCTTTTTTCCTACGGTGGATCGCTGGTCTATTTTCTCTCATGATCAAGTGGTCGCTTACAAGAAAATTTGAAACTTTTAGCTCTACGGGTGGTCGCGGTCGCTTACGAGAGGTGGTCGCTTACAAGAGGTTCCAAACACAGTCAGATTTGACTGGGAAACGTTAGTATTTTGGAAAACAGGTCGCTGAGGAGAGGTGGTCGCAACCGGAGGTTCGACTGTGGAGCAATTGTTAATTATAGCCAACTTGGCTCTGCGCGCCTCGTTGGCTATCTACCATCTCATATCTATACGCGCGCACATGAAATAACTGTTAATTATATACCGGTGAAGCTCTTTGGAGCCAAAGTCTGACCCCTCGCCTACGCGGAACCGTTTACCTGGTCACGCTCTTTGGGCTCGTCACGCAATCGTGCGTGAATGACAATTTCGAGCGCAGGTCAAGATGGCTGGATATTGGCCAAATTCTTTTTTTTTTTGCGTGTTTATGGACCGAGACGGAGTCGAGGTCCATAAGCTCGCCAAAAAAAGAGCGAGGCCAATATCGAGTCATCTTGACCGAACAAGCGTGGTCAATAAAGGATCTGTTATGTAGCTTGCGGGGAATTTTTCTTGCGGGACACAGCGGGTCGTCCCGAGCGGTCAAGATGGCGCCATCTTGCCAGCTCGCAGCGCAGGATTTGGTTCGTCTTGCTCACTCACTGAGCCAGCCATGAGATAACAGGTAGTAGAGCGTCGTTGGCTATATAATCATCACATATCCAGCAAACGCGAGTAGAATCATAATTTTAATGAAAAACGCCCCCTATCTTGAAAACTAAAATAAAAGAATAAAAAAACCGAAATTATTATAAATAAATAAATAAATAAATATACATTATAAGTCTTTTTTCAGCTTTTTTTAAAAATATATTTTAGCCCGGCGATTGAACTCGTGTATGTTATCGCATAATCTAAGTGAGGTAGGCAAGGAATTAAAGACCTTTGAGATGCAGGCTTGTGCGTAGTGTTAAGTCTGATGTCGCTGTTAGAGCGGAGACTCCTTGCAGATACATACTGCTGTAATCTTAGGTGTTGAGGCCAGTGACTGTGATAGACTGAGTTAAACGCTGATTCGGCAATACAAAATGAAAGTCTCGTCTCTCGCTTACCATACTTGTAGAGCATCGCATAATGGCTCAGTTATCTAATGATCCAGTTTTTGTTAATGATCTCATTTCCAACAAGCGTGAGCGGAATAATTGTCCATTAAAAACGCACCCAAAATGTAGACAACTGAAAAAATAATCAATAAAAAACGTGTTCAAAAATTACGGGTACGCTTACCATATTCGTAGAGCATGGTATAACTATAAATAATAATATTTAGTTCATACGACGGTGTTCTCGCTGATCGCATAAATTGTACGAGCCCTGGCCATTTTGACCGAGTCAGTTATATCCTGGTCCATGACATTGGGTTAGGATGAGGGCCCACGGGAACCGATCACTTTATACCCGAGGCTAGTAGCCGTACTTTAAACAAGAACATTTCACCTAAGAACATTTCATTTCAAGAACATTTCACCCAATCCACCACTTAAATTTTGCAGATAAGGGATCAGTTTGTTCGAATATTTTGCTATTCCCAACAGACGGTATTTGTGTACACCACAAAACATGCGGTCTGAATTTTTACACGTGACGACGCGAACTCACGTGTTTGAGACTTCGCGTGACATCATATTACGTGTGAATTTTCTCCCGCTGGCGCGCAGTGGAACACGCGAATTGAAGGTGGATATTTTTAAAGCCGGATATCAGGTTTAAGTGTTGATTGTTTTCGTTAAAAGTGACTTAATTTTGCAATGAACTTATTTTAACACTTGCACAGACTTCGCGTGACTCCAGGGCGACTGAGGTAAATTGAGTTTTACTAAAATTTTGATGCGGCCGACAGATATTTAAATCCGTTGTTTTACTTGTAACATAATTGTCAATAAAAACAATCTGAAAACATGAATGAACAATTCGAGCAAAAATGTAAATTTTGAACCGGTGCACCCGCACGTAAAATGTCTCGTGTTCGTGTGTTATATAACGTTCAAAGTGTAGTCAGGCATTCAAAGTATGATGTTGAAATAAAGATGGCGGAAGATGAAACAGCACTTTCCAGTAATGATGAAGTCAAAAAAGCTTGCTTGCTTAGGAACCAGAATGAAAAGAGGAGGCGAGATAGGTTCAATAACTTAGTGAGTGAGTTATCGGTCGCTCTTCCTGTAACTGGGAAAAAACTGAGCAGAAACAACGTTCTTAAATACGCGATAGAACACTTCCGCCAGGCGAAGCAACTCGCAACGAACTCGGCAGAGTTGAACTCCAGGAAACTGTATGGAAGGTGGCAACCCGATTTTATCACGAGTGAAGAATTCCGTCAGACCATCTTCGATGGACTGAATGGTATTGTGATGGCTGTCAGTGAAACCAGCAAAATATTTTTTGTGTCGAGCAACGTGTTCTCCTGTCTCGGATACGACTGCGAGCAGCTGTTAAATAACAGCATTTTAGACCTGGTACACCCAGAAGACCAACGAATGATCTATTCACTGTTAACGTCTATCCGTAGAAGCAGTGCAGACAGCAGCCACAACCCTCCGCAATTGTTTACTTGCCGGTTTCGTTGTGGCCCGCAGAGTCACGGGTGTAACAACAGCTTCGAAGCTTTTCGCTGCGTGGGAAGGAGTTTCCGAGGAGTGGATCACACCGACGGAAACGACTGCTGTCTAGTGTTGTTTGGTCGAACAGCATTTCTTCCAACAGTGAATCATGCTATTGTGCTCTCTGATACGGAAACCGTCTCCAAATTTACCACTAGGCTGAATAAAATGTGGAGGTTCGAGTGTGTAGAGAGAAGTACCACATTGGTCCTGGGTTACTATCCATTTGAGTTACTGGGAGCTTGCTTCTATGAGTACTGCCATGACGAAGATTTGGCCAATCTTACAGAGTATCACAATATGCTCCCTTATTCGGGAGTAATAACAACCTGCTGTTATCGTCTGCTGACCAAAGGGCAAGTTTGGATTTGGGTGCGTAGTCGTTGCCATGTTTCCTATAGTCAATTGAATTCAAAACCTGATTCTGTGATTTGTGTGACTTGGCCCATGAAAGGCACTGAGTTCAATATGTTAAATCAAGAGGAAGTTTTAGACAGGGATCGCAGACTGTTTTCCCAGATTCTTGAAAAGAATGGAGAAAAACAGCCCAGTTCAAGTTCTGGTGCTCAGAATGCAGTCTCGTCATCATCATCGTCATTATCAACCCAGGACACACAAAAAAATGCAGAACAGAGCCACATGACATCCTCAGTGAAAGTGATAACAGTGAATCCTGGAGTCCAGTCACACACAATGAATGACAACAATGACTTCCTTTCGACAACTCCTGACCAATGCTCCCAGGGCTTGGCTGGTTCGCAGTCTGTCTCAGCTATGTGGTCTTGTGATACTCATGTAGACAGCACTGCAATTTTGACGCAAAGCAATGGTCATTACATTTTGAATGGCTCAGTGGACCAACCAATGGAAAATGTGGATGTGAACAGTTTGTTGTTAGAGGACTATGTTGAAATGCCTGAATCGCTCTCACTTTCACAATGGGCGATACACTTACACCTAAGAGACCAATACAAAAGTCTTACTGAATCTATACGACAGCAATCAGAGCAGATCTCTGTTATTCAAAGGCAGCTTGCTATTCAGAAGGAATTATCTGAACTCAGTGATGAACTGGAGATGCAAGAAAAACTAAAGAAACAAAATCTCCACAACACTGTTGAAGAGACCAGAGCTGTTATTCATCAAAAGATGAAAGAACTGCAAGATTGTACTGTTGCAGTATAGCATCAGCTACTGCGAAAACATTTCCAGTCATAAACGACAGGCCAAGTCAACTGGCCAAGGTACACTGTATTTAATACATGAGATATGATTTCACTGCCACCACCACAATTTCTGTATTGTTTCCCTCCCAATCACTGGGAGGGAAACCACTGCTGCTGCCTCTGCTATCAACACAGGTCTGGTGTTTCCCTCTATGATCACTGACACTGGCCACCACTACTGCCACCACCACAACCACAACAGTTTTATTGTTTCCCTCTTCTACTAACATGGGCCACTACCACTGCTACATTCATTCATTCATTCGTTCATTCATTCATTCATTCATTCATTCATTCATTCATTCATTCATTCATTCGTTCTGTTTATTTGCATTTTTACTTAACTTACAGTATTTATAAATATTTTAATTTGAGGCAAGGTGACCTCTAGAAACCATCAGGCTTTTAGCTGAGGCCACCACTGCTATCACCACAGTTATGTTGTTTCCCCCGATGATCACTGACACTGGCCACCACCACTGGGCACCACCACCACAACCGCAACAGTTTTGTTGTTTCCCTCTGCCACCACTAACACTGGCCACTACCACTGCCGCCACGGTCCAGTATCACCACAGTTCTGTTGTTTCCCTCCATAATCACTATCACTGGCCACCACCCCCCGGGGGGACTCCCATATAAAAAGGACAGGGGTGCTCGTCATAAATTTTGAAAAGAACCCCTAAGAAGTACTGAGATCCTATTTTGTGGGCATCGCTTGAATTTGTTCTCTTCCCTTAGAGGTACCAATCCTCACCTAACACATGTTATGTACCTCTTGTCATATTGTTTTGACTCAATACCCTAGAAGGTACCACAAAAGCTCCCGCTGTGGACCTTTTGAGGCTGAACACCCTATGGGTACCTAAACTGCATTTTTAACCCCTTAAGGTCATTCCTCACATTTGCATTGCGCATCCTTACTGCGCATAATTTATGGTGTCATTAGCGCGCGCTCATGCACGCGCATATTGAAAACATGACGGATTTGCCTTGATATTGAGTTCTGTCAGTTGAAAAAATGGCTCTAGCTCACCAACGAGCAAGGGCATCCCAATTTTTTTTCCAGTCATTGTAATCAACTAATCATAAGCTTTGCATGAGAAAAGACTGATCTAATTTCTATTGCTGAAAATTGAATAAATAAGAAA